TAGGGATTTTTTTTTAGATGCTTTTACGTACTAAGGATAGTTTTGTGTGTAGGCAATACTTCTAGAAACATATTTCTTTGATGAAGGCAATTTTTATGATATATTCTTGAAATAAATTAAAAAATAATATTTTTTTTTTCTAAAATGCCATCTTAGACTTATATAGTAGCGAAAAATTTCTTTAAGCTAGAGTTATTATCCGGTCTCGAAGGACAGCAAAGCGAAAAACTCTGGATAAAATACATTTATAAGGGAGAAATATTGCGTTTCCCTATACTCGAATCTTACCAATTTCGGTAGTTTTTTTTTAATTTTGCCCAATGATGACAACTCATGCTGGAGGGGGGCTGCGGTGTGGGGGGGGATCGTTCAGTGACGTCATAAGGTCACTCTGCCCAGCGGGCTGCGTGTTCGATCCTCCATCTACACCGCAGAGGTGCCCAATGACCCATAGATTATGAGAGCTGAGGGCTTTTTGACCTGATTTTTCTTAAGGATAATGTTAAAGAAAATTTAAATATTGGTATAAGGTTTAAAAATCGTATATTTTTATGTTAAATAAAAAAAAAACTCTAGAAATAGATAAAATTAGAAATTCATTACATTTTTTTATTATGCATCTAGGTTTAAATTGATGTAAAGGTAACCTTCGGTCTATTAATTTCAGGTAAATCTAGTAATTAAAAAGACCGAGTTTTTTGTTCATAGATTGATCTGTTGAAACCAAATTATTCAAACTTTCGTGAGACATTATACTAAACTGATATAAACACGGCTAAACACCCACGTATATTCGTCCGGTGGTGGCACCGACTAGTTTCGAGCCCAACGGGGGCCCTTCATCAGGATGAGTGGTACTGCTATTATTTCGCGGACGCGGCCCTCAGCTCAGTGAGAACACATAGGCTATTTACCAATTATTTTTAATTACGCAGACAAAGTCGCAGGTGACAGTTTACTTGTAATAAAATTATACTCTCAATTCCAGGTCCGCATCCAAACAATGCCTGGATTTGCGTCTACACTGCGTGAGGCGTGGCCGAAGATGGTACAGAACGAGGGCTACGGTACTTTCTACAAGGGCTTGGTGCCATTATGGGGTCGTCAGATACCGTACACCATGATGAAATTCGCTTGCTTCGAGAAGACCTTGGAACTCCTTTATAAGGTAAAAAAAAGATTGTTACCTTCTGTGCCTTGTCCTGTACAATACCAAGACCACACTGAACACACCTCAAATGTGGAAATATTTTTTTTTCATTCCAATTACAGTCTGATGACTCATTTCAGTTTTTCCTTAGCCATCCTTTCCTTATATTATAACTAAAACAACTTAATAACCTAAAAAACAAAAATGGGTCCTCCTTTTCTTGATTCATGATACTACTTCTTATAAGGAAAGGATGGGAAAGGGTACTGGATTTGATGGAAGGAAAGCATAGGAAGAGGAAATATTCTTTTTCTGAGCGTCTCCTCCTGCGATTAAAGGCAATAGCGGATGTCCAGAAGAGGTAGTTTCGCTATTTAGGCGAATTCAGATGGCCGCTCGCTCGTTTGCCACCTTATAATATATAAAAAATATAGTACTAAGTTGCAAAGCAAGCAGTTTCTAATTTCTGTAAAAAATCTTTTTCTCTTCGTAAGATATTTTGATTATGACACTAGAAATAAAAGATAGGCGTAAAGTAGAAATTATTCAGCATTTCCTTCCCTCTTCCAAACTTATATTAAGATGGGAAGTAGATGGAGGAGATTTGGCGGAGGAGTGGACATTTAGGAAGGGGATATACACTATACAACTCATTCTTCAATCTAAAAGACAGTGCATTTGCTATTTTAGTGAAATTAACCTTGTGTTATAAAAACAAAGATATGATTAAACGCTAGTTTATTTGATGTTATGTGATGTATGGTGTCATGATGTGTCATATCGCAGCACGTGGTGCCGAAGCCCCGTGAGCAGTGCACGAAGGGTGAACAGCTGGTGGTGACATTCGCAGCGGGATACATCGCTGGTGTCTTCTGTGCTATTGTGTCACATCCAGCTGACACCGTCGTCTCCAAACTTAACCAGGTCAGTTTTATATCAGGTATACGTTACAACTGAACTCAGTCTAGCCTAAGTTAGGTCTAACCATAGCCAATGCATCGTAAGAATGTCAAATAAATATACATATGTATGAAAAAACACATTGTTATGTGTCGGGATTCGAACCCTAGGATTAATAGACAATGTTATGTGCTATAACAATATCAGAAAATCTTAAATATGTACTCAAAATTGGTAAATTAGGTACTGAAATTTAAAAAAAAGCTCCTGTACAAATATGGACAGAATACTTTGAGTTTTACATAATACAATTTGCCGAATCTATTATTACAGGCGTTTTTATTGAAATCGCCCAATAAGTTTTTTTAGGCTAAAGGTTTTTTTTTGTTATATAATGTGATCAAGTATTAGAAATAGGTCATTTTTTTTCTTCATAATAATGTTTAAAAATATATATGGTAATAAACAAAAAACTTAAGTAGCCAATGTCTTCCAGACTATGTTCTATATCTATACCAAATTTTGGCAAAATCCGATGACAGTCTCCAGAGATACTTTTTACACCTATTCATCCATCCATCCATTTGCATTTATAATATTAGTAAGATAAATAAAATTTTAAATGTATATTTCAGGACAAGACAGCGACGGTTGGTTCTATCGTTGGCAAGTTGGGTTGGGCCGGAGTATGGAAGGGTCTCGGACCCAGGATCATCATGATTGGTACACTCACTGCCCTGCAATGGTTCATCTATGACGCTGTCAAGGTAATTTTTTTTTATTTATGACATTTGACACTTTTGACTTTTTAATTATTAAATTCAAAATTATACCACGACCACACAAAAGATACGCCTCAAATGGCCATTCCAACTACAGTCTGATGAATGTGTAGAGTCATTTTAGTCTTTCCCTTCCTTTTTCTTATAAGGATGGGATGAGAAATGATTTGACGGAGGAGGGGACGAATAGGAAATGAAAATATTTGTCAAACGTAAACAAGGCATCTCTAATTTTAGACCCCAAGTCAGCGGTAATACCAAACCGCTACGACTTGGGGTCCTTCAAGAAGCGAGCGTATCACCATCTCAAAGGCAACGCATCTGCGGTTCCTCTGGTACTGCTGATGTCCATGGGCGTCGTTAAACACCTCGGTGTTCCCGCTCCAGAAAGATATCTGTGGGATATGCTTCGCTATTTTAGCGAAATGATATGAAAAAAAACTTTTAATGTTTTTTTTTTTATAATAATATAATTTTTGTATTAGGTATGGCTGCGCATGCCGCGACCACCGCCAGCAGAGATGCCGGAATCTATGCGCAAACGTCTCGAAGCTGAGGAAGCAGCGAAATCCAAGTGAACATACATAAGCCCATACATTCACACACCATGCACATAAACCCATACAAATATATTGAAATTAATATAGAATACAAGACCCTTGAGACTTGGGATTTTATTATGTATTTTGTCTCTTTCTTTCTCAATATGAGTGAGAAGGACAATCTGTTTTAGTTATAATCTCATTTTATGTTCTGTGCTGTGATATGCGTGGATTTTGTAAGAACTTTTTTTTTAATTATTTTTATTTTTGTTGCCATTTTTTATATATATATATTACAATGGTAGTAAATAAGTTACTAACGAAAATATCAAGATACGGGGGCACGATACTTCAGTGGGGTCACTATAATTCAATTAAATTGTCGATGGGGTCACTGTAATTCAAACTATTTTTTTCTCATCCATGTTATGCGCAAACTAGCTAATTAATATTATGTGCATGGTTTTTTTTAATAAACTCAAAGTATATAACATACGACTGTTTCCGTAGTTTATTGCATTATATATATAGGTTCATGTGATTATTTTATTTAAGGAATCATGTTAAATTATTACTCGAATAAATATTTTTTTTTTTCGTATGTATTTATTATTATTTTTTATTAATAAAACACCTTAGTACATGTTTTAATAGGCAAAGTGTAACCAAAGTGTTATTAATGTGAAATAAAATCGCTAATAGTTCTGAATATTTTTTTTATTTTTCAATTCCTTATTTCTATATATGTAATACTAGCTGACGACCGCGGATCCGTCTACTAAATATATATGTATATAAAATAAAATTACATAAAAAAAAACTAACGTAGTAACACGAGACTAGCTTTCGTCCGCGCGGAGTTAAAAACGAACTTAATAAGTAGCTTATGTGTTCTTCCAGACTATGTTCTACATATATGACAAATTTCAGCGAGATCCATACAGCCGTCCTGGAGATGTGTTCTAACAAACATACATATAAACATTCGCATTTATAATATTAGTAAGATTAAAAAGAGGTAAGATTTATTTGCTGTGAATCTCTAAAAGTAATGAACAGATTTGATAAATTCTTACACTGTTGGGAAAGCTACACTATTTGTGAGTGATATTGCCTATATTTATGACTAGACTTTATTTAATTCCCTTTTTTTCAATTTGGTTCAACAAAAACTTTATAAATATTAGTTGAGATATTTTTAAAAAACATCTAAATATTTAGATAATCGTATAGAACAAAATAAAAACTCAATTTGAACGTTAAAATTGCTGTTTCGATATTGTTCCTTTTGATTTGTAAGCTATTAAAAACAACGTCGTTTGTTTTTTACGAGTAAAAAAAAAACAACGTTTGAAATATAAACGACATGCAATTGACCATTTTATTTTTAAAATATTTCAGTTGAACATTTTTTTTTTGTCGCAATTCGAGAAACAATAGTTTTATTACTTGCAGCTGCAAAGCGTTGCAAGACTTCGCCTTCCCCTCCCCCCTACCCCCGTGCAGGCCCCGGCGACGCCGGCGCACTTTCTTTGTCTCAAAAAATTAGTCAATTTTTTAACACCCCCGCGAAAAGACGTTGAGCAATTATTATTAAATTAATTTAAAAATTAAACTTTAAATATAATTTTGGGGTTGCTTAGATTATATAGTTTGATATTATATGTTAGTTTTGTTATGTGTTAGCAATTATTTATTTTTTAATAAACTTAATATTGTTGTACGAGATGAAAAATGGCGATTGGTAAGTTATTTTAAAAATTTTTCTTTTCTTTATTCTAGATGCTGATGCTGTTGCTTGATACTTTAATTTTTTCTTTATGTTTTTAATGTCATATTATTATTGTGTTTTTAAATATTTATTTATGGATATTATAAATTTTCTTTCCGACGTGAGCAAGCTTAGGAATTAATATTTTTCAGGTGTATCAAGATGGCTTTTTTGGTATTTTTAAGTCTAGAAATTAATAAGGAGATTGATGAAATTACGATTTTACTAACTTCATTTGTTAGGGCGGCCATTTTTTATTTTGATAACGTCTAGTTTTTAAACGCCATTTTTTATTTTCAATGATAACGTTACTTGTATATGATTATTGTAAGCGTATAAATTTAATTTAAAATATCACTTTTTAAAATATGCTTTTTAGTTTTGAAGGAACTCGTTAATTACTTTTTTAACTTACCCTTTTTATAATAAAAAAGCTTAACTTGACTATATTTAATTTTCAACGCGACGGAAATCATGCTAAAAATGCATAAACTTATTTACGAATACGAAGTTTTAAATTTAGGAAGTTCGAAATTCAAAAATTAAACCAAATGACAGTGGTTCTCAAATTTTATGCCAGTGCAGTAAGACAGTAGCTGGACTGACTCTTACTATATGTTTCACGGGCGTCAGTTATCGTTTGTCAGCGGTGATTGTAATCGCTACTGTCTTACTGTACTGGTATGTTGTAAACCGGACATAAATTGCTCAACAGCGCCCCCTGGTGCCATATTGAATAACTAAATGCGATAGCAGTGCCACACTGGATTAATGTTTTCGATTCGAACCGTTTTTAACGAATTACCGTTAACAATGGTGCCAAAATTTTGAAGCCACTTATTTCTTTCTAGAGAAATGATGGCGTAGAAATTGCGTATACTTTAATGAGTTTTTTTTAATTGATTTTAGCTTTTTTTATAAACAAATTAAGTATGTAGTTTTCTACGGAGTTTTACTTCTACTAATATACATGGGTACGAATTATAAACGAATAACGAAATTATGATAAATGCCCCACGTTTCTTAACCACGATTGTTCTTGAGAATTTTTTTTACTGTTTCGTAACATACTTGGATATAGTTCCTAAAAAATAGACTATCTATATTATTACGTGCTTTTTAAGGATCGATTGAAATTAAAACCATAGTGTGTCTATTTAAGATAGCTAATCTTGACAAGTGACGTCTATAAAGTATTGAATTAATTTTGTATGAGCATTAATGTTGTACTTAATGGACGGTTGTCATAGTGTCGGAGTGTACGCGTATTACGACCAACTATGAACTGTCGAGAATCGGTTTTAAAAAATATTTGTCGAAGAAAAAAACTATAATATAATTTTGGTCTTATTACTTTTTGAAGTTATTTCAGATATTTAGTTAAAAAAAAAATAATAACAATTCTTTTTGTTTCTCAACATATCAATTATTATTTAAAGATTTTATATTTCTACGTAGTTTTGAAGAGTAAAGTTGATATAAAAGGAAAGAATTTCATTTATGTTGTGACTCAAAATATCACGAAATTTTCGATTGCAAGTTCCATGAGAACAACCATCGAAAATCGAAAAATTTTATAATCGATTTCACACGACCCATATCTAGTGAATTGTCAAACTAATCTATCTTAAATAGACACAATATAGAAATTGCTTAATACATTTTAAACCGCATATTGGTTGCAACATTGCCGATAGATAACCAGTTTTAACTAGTTTATTACGAGTTTTTTTTTTAATATTTTTTGTACGACTTACTATGGAAATTGCGTGAACCAATTAATGTTAATAAAACGGATAATTTTATAAGTTGTGCAAAACTATTTTTAATCGAATCGAATTTAGTGGACGACCACTAGTATGAATATTTAAATAGCTCCTACGTAAAGTATGTTATATTTAAAATGCAAATTTTGTAAAATAAAACATTAATATGATTAATTACAAAGTTTCAGACTTGAACATAAAAGACGACCTAATTCTACAATGTTCTTTTTGAGGTTAATTTCAAATTAAAACAGGAGTTAATCACTAATTTGTAGGTTAAGTCTACGGTGAAGCCATCGAATTACTGAATAGCATATTTAACGTCACTACAAAATTAATAATAAATGTTGGTGCAAATCACAATATTCTTCAGTGCTATTACTTTTTAATAAAAATAACTTTAAAACAATATCTCTGACCTTTGTTCTTAGAACTGAGACTACTAGCGCCATCTGTCACGCTTGCATAAAATAATTTATTACACAAAATTGCTCCCGCATAAATCTCAAAGCGAACGCTAGAAAAGACGGCGCTGCAAAGCGCTTAGGCGCGAAATTGACTTTCTTAAAATGCAATAATGATTTTAGATAGAAGGTTGTTATTACATATTTCTAGAACAGACAAACTGATATCGCTGAAATCTCAGGATACTTTTTTTTTAAATTCCACGCGGAAGGAGTAGCTGACTGCTATTATTTGCAAAGTAAAAAAAAAATATACCAACCTTTCCAAATATCTCGTGTCATCAAATTTGCATTCCTTTGTTTTTGCTATTTTTATTTGGCAGGCGCGGTAAAAAAAGTTGCCTTGGAAATAATTGAATTAACACTTCTTGTCCGTTGCTATTTTTATTTAGCAGGGGCGGCTAAAAATAAAAAGGATTTTAGTTAAATTTCTAACTCCTTACACTTGCACTCCACAAATATTCTTCTTCTTCATTCATTTATTTTCTCTAAATATATTTTATTAAAAAATTAAGTAAATGTATAAAACATTTTAAAATTAGGCGTCAGGCTACGAAACCTTATGGTTCATACAACCAGTCGTCAAGTTTGCTGTAAAAGGAACCTCCTCATATAATAAATACGATAGTTTAGATGGATAGATGTTGGTTAGAAGGTATCTCCAGAACGGCTCAACTGATCTTAAAACTTTTTCCTTATTACGCGCGGACGGAGACGTGAGCGATAACTAGTTTATGATATAGAAGACTAATAAATAGTTAAGGTAGATCTATTCATATTTTTTATGTTCCAAATATTTAAATCAGTCACAATGCACATGACAAGCGAAGAAAGGATATTGAATGTTTTTTGTACTAACAGGTCTATATATTATTTTGAGGTTACTTAAACGAACCAATCTCATGTCACTGTCAATTCTAAGCAAAAAAAAGATTGGCTGGAACTCCAACGATTTGGTTGGTTGAAATACAGACCAATGGCAAACATGCAAAATATTTCTGTTTTTGCATATAAATATGTGACTGACAATTTTGCGTATTTAAAATTAACATCGGAGTCGGAGTCGGGAGTCGGGAAAGGAATATTATGATGAGAGAGGTGCGGGTGCGTGTGGTTCTTCTCTGCTGTATTGTGT